TTTTTTTTTTAAGTCAGGTTCTATCCCGGCAGGGAAGAAATACCCTCTTTTCCATCCTCTCTAAAAGTGTACTCGCAACCGGTTCTCGAGGTAAACATGGAGAGCCAACCCCACACGTACGCACAAAATGCGGCGGGTACGCGAAGCGGCTGCTGCTCCCTCCGTGTTTGGTAACACCTCGGTGCGAAGTCCCATTAACGCAAGGCAACAAAAGCCATTTGCGATGAAATCCACACGCTCGCACGTGTGCAAACTGGAAGATCGGTCCTGAGGGGAGGGAGGGGGAAGGAGACACGCTTTCCATCCGAAATGCAGCTGAGGAATATGTCTTTTTTTTCCGGCTTGAAAAAATATTTAAAAAACCACCCAAAACAAACAAGAAAAAAAACTAAAACAAACCACCTAACCAAAAGCAATAATTTAAAAAACCCTAAACAACCCACAAACCCCAACACCCCTGACATCTCATTCATAGAAATCAAGCACCCGCCAACGAGGGGTTCTAAAAGCTCGGCTCCCKCATCGGGAGATCGCTTCATCCCAAACTCCTCGATCCGGGACTAGTCACCAAATCACTTAGCCGGCGCTGAGCTTTCCGAGTCCTTTATCCCTTTCCTAAACTACAGCATCGCCCAAAACCGCGTCAGGGTCGGACAGGAGAGTGCCCCCTTCGACCCAGAGATGCATGTCGGCAAGGCTCCGCCAAGGCTGAGGGGATCTTCCTGTGTGGGTCACGACCAAATAACAGCGCTCACTTGCAAAGCAGAGTCTTTTATTGCGCGGTTTGAACGCACTGCACAGGCAACTTTTTCGAAACGAGTGACAATAGTATTCGTTGGTTTGAGACTACACATGTGGTCCTGGACATCGCTCTTCTTTTTCCTCTTCTTSTCCTTTTTGTCAGATTTAAAGACACTCTCCTCTTTCTAAAAATAAGGATGCACGCACAGACACATGGAGAGATGCACGCACGCAATCTGCACTGAACGGCTCCAAAACCAAAAGAAGTGGATTAAATTTTTTTTTCTTTTTTCAAGCGGTGGAATTGCTGTTTCAAACCCGTGGGAGTGTGGCCCTGAAAATTAGGCAGCTGGAGGAACACTGTTCCCAAACCCATGATTTCCGTTGGGCAGCTGACCCCTGTAAATTTGTGCAGCTCAATACAATCAACCCGCAGATATATTGAAAAGACTGAATTTAAACGTCGGTCCTGAGCCAATTTATTGGGATGCCTCGGGTACCTAGAGTGCAAGAATAATTATCTTCCCTTTGTCTCTTTGCCCTTTCATTCATTCATTCATTCATTCATTCATTCATTCATCTGTCCATTCATTCAGCCAGCCGCCTATCCATCCATCCATCCATCCATCTGGATGAGTGTAGCATCCTACAAGAGCCTTATCTGCGGAGGATCTACCTATAGACCAGGCTGCTTCTGGATCCTGTTTGCCTTTCCTCATACACTTCCGACAAAGCCGTGTTTCCACAAGGGAAGGTCCCCAGCCCTTCTCTGGCTGCAGGAACGCAAGGAAGCCTGGCGACGGAGCAGAAGTTTTCCTAAACGAAATTGAGAGACGGAGGGATGCTGAAGGCTCCCGCTTGCAGCTGCGGGGCCGGGGCTCTGCCCGGGCCCGGAGAAAGCGCTTACCTCACATTCCTCATACTTGATATTATCCGTCAGTTTCCAAAGCATTTTCATGGATTGGCGTGAGAGAGGATTTGGTTCTCCCTGTCTTGCCTCTCCCTACGGTGGCGGTGCCGGGCGGCGTGGGGAGCACGGCTGGCGGAGGCTCGGCAGCGCTCCCGTCCGCGCTCGGAGATCTCCCTCTAATGGTGGAAACTTTTCCCTTTTCCAGCTCTTTACCCACAGTCTAATCGCCTCATTAGCATATCAACAACAGCCCAATTGCTCGCAAGCACAACAACCTGCAGCGATGGACACAGGTAGAAGGGACCCACGAGCAAGAAAAAAAAAAATTAATGACAAAAAAAAGCTTTCTTCGACCTGCCGAGACCCGGCGCGGGGGGAGGGGGCAGCGAGCCCTGCCTGTCTGCCTGCGGGCCTCTGCTCCCCCCGCCCCGTGCCTCTGCCTGTCAGTGGGGTCGAAAGTGGCCAGCGAAATCGAAGAGGCTACCGTCCGATCTGCAGAGAGTTTGGGGCTAGCCATGAAGACACTCCATGGGATTCATCTCTCCCCCACCCACTTTTTTTCCCTCTTTTTTTCCACTGGGGTTAAAGAAAGCAAAGCAAGGAGAAACGAGACTCGAGTGCCGCTCGAACAAGGTTATTGTCTGTGGAGGCTTCTGTTGCCCTCTTTAGATTTAGTCCTTTTTTTGTGGATATTTGAAAAGCTTCTTTCCTCGCAAAACTATTTTTTGTTTTCTTCTCGGCTCTGTTGGCTATTGGTCTTCAAAAAAAAAAAAAAAAAAAAAAAAAAAAAAAAAAAAAAAAAAAAAAAAAAAAAAAAAAACCAAATAAATCCAACATAACCTCCCAAACAAAAGTGGTCGAGCGGTAAATTGAATGTAGCAGGAGCCAAAAAGTCTTCTGCAAGCACTTGAGCAAAAGCACAAAACAATGACCATAATAAAACTTTGTACTTTCTTAGGTGGAGCGCTTCGTTTGCTTAACAATGTGCCGCTAGGAAAGCACTCAGGCCGCCCTCCTGGGGGGCTGCATCTCCACCCTTCCCGTCTTTTATTTCCCCTAGTGCCCAGCCTTGATCCGTCCACCGAAAGGYTTCGTTTTCCCCGTTTTTCTTCTTCCCTCCCGGGTGATTCCTCGCTATTCCTAAGGGCTAGGCATTCCCCTCTCCGTGGGGCTGGTGTGTCGGGCCTGGAGCAGCTCCCCACGCTAGCCGTGTCCCCAGGCATCCCYGGGAGCCGGGCATCCCCGTGGCTGCCCGTGCACCTGGCGGCCCTGCTGCTCACCGAAACTTCCTTTTGCCGAAGGCAAAACCTGCCTTGTCGGCCTGGAAGACCCTCCCGGGACCACCCTCCCCCCCGCCCCGGCCTCGAAGTCGGAGGAAAATTTACTGCCTCTAGGAACAAATGGCCCTTGCCTCCGATGGGGAGCCGCAGTGGGCCCTCGGGGGACCGGGCCACGTGTCGCCACGCCGGGAAGGGAGGCAAAGCCTCCGGGCTCCCGCGGCTTTTCCTTCACACACAAACACCCATGTCCCCCAAACGAATTTTTTTTTTCTTTCTCCTTTCCCCCTCCTCCACCATACTCCCACCCCCGATGCTCTTTTTCATCAGAGCTTTTGTCTGTCACTGGCAGGAGAGTAAATTGTTGTTTTTACTCCCATTGAGGTTCAAATGGAGCTGGCAGATTAAGCCTAGTTAATGCCCCGGGGGGGGGGGGGGGGGGGGTGTATTGGAGATGAGAAAAAGAGAAGCGAAGGGGGTTGACGAAGGGGCCCTTGGCCCCTTAGCGCCGTCCTGTCTGAACTGGACCGGTCGGAAAAGCCTCCCATCCGGGACAACCTCCCACCTGCGGCTGCTTGGGACTCCCGTGGGCCAAAGGCCCGACCCTTTTGCCTTCTTTCCGCAGGCCCGGGCCGGTGGCGTGCAGGGTTGCGAGGGGAGGGGGCGGCTGTCACCGAGAGATCCACACGGGGCCGGGGGAGGCGGGTCCGCGCGGCTCGGCCCCTCCGGCCAGGCGCGGCGAGGGGGGTCCCGCAGCGCTGGGGAGAGGAAGCAAGGAAGGCCGGGGTGTAAGGAAAAGTCGGGAATAGATTTCAAGGCAGATAACCCGTAAATACGATTGCGCAAGAATTGATTTCAATGAGAGAAAAGAAAATAAAATAGTGAAAGAAAAGAAAATAAAATCCTCTTTTTATCTCTTTTTCGCATGAAAGATATAAATATGTTAGCAGATGTAAAAATAAATCAAATAACTTAAAAGATATTTTTGTCTACTTATTTTGTTCCCCCACTTTTTTTTTAGACGATTTGCTGCTACCATAAAAAAATTTTAAAAATAAGGTAATCTGTGGAGTCGAGAGATTTGAAAACCTGGGAGCAAAAAAAAATAAACTAGGCTCCCATCTGGACCTGGACTGTCTTGGGGAAGAAATAAATTTTTTCAAAGCCCTTCTTTCTAAGAAAATCCCGTGTTCTTGAACAGGACAGGACGGTACATCTTCCCTTTTAATTAGCCAGCAGACCGCGGTCAGCCGGCCCCAGCGGATTGGCATCAGGGCGCTCCAGGGTTTTTTAAGTGTCTGCCGGTTTGGGAGTCTCCGTAACTCCACACGTGTAGTCTCGCCCGCAGTGCGTGTGGGTCCCTTCGGGTCCGTGGGGCCGGGACAGGCCCCGGTGGGCCGCGTGTTCCCCGCCTGGCYTCTTTCGCCCGTGGGTTCTGCTTTTCCCGTCATCCCATACCCGCCGGCGTCCTTTCCACGGGCTCCCCGGCGCATCTGCTGCCGTGTGGGACCCGGCAGCGTCTTTTTTTCCACGGGACAGGCTGGAGTGCGAGCTCGTASMGAGGTTTCAGGTCCCGCGGCGCGTYCCCCATGCGCGGCGAGTCACGGCGGCGGGCGCGGGTCCTGCCCCGCGTGGGGACCCGCCGCGTTCCGCSGGCAGCCCCAGGGCTCCGCGGCGGGCCGGCCGCGGCCAGTCCCGGGCACAGGGAGGGCGGCCGGGCACACGCCGCCCTCGGCCGGCCCACTCTGTTGGGCAGCTCRCCCTCGGATCGGGAGACCCGCGGCGGTGGCGGCGGAGCAACCCTCGCCCCTCTCGACGCCGGCCCACTGCTCTCTACCTGTTGCAGTCGGGCCTCACGAGTGGCCGCGGGCAGCCCCCAGCACCAAGAGCCACAAAACACACAATCCCAGCGTCAGGTTCGCCCCAGCTCCCTCCGGGCCCGTCACCTTTGGCGCTCCAGCCCTGCCTCCCGTCCCAAAATAACAATCAACCCCCCCAGGACAGAGGGTCRCCTTACCTGCCAGTCCCCCATTTTGGCAAGGATAGACATCCTGGCTGCGGGCTCCGAGTCCCCAGGTCCCTGCTCGTCATGGACTGCGAGGGCAAGCCACTCGCCTGGGACGCCTGTGGGTAAATCCTCCCCTTACCTGCGCCGGGACTCTCTCACCTGGCCATAAAGAGCTGGGTGCTCCCTGCCCGCGCCTGCGCGCTGCCTCCGCGCTGCCTGCGCGCTGCCCCCCTCCACTGCGCTCCCACCGCGTTCTCCCGACCCCGTCGCTCCCGGGGGACCGGCGACAGTGCCCCCCYGGGAGGCTCCCCAGCGTCCTGCAGCGGGCGGACCCCTGCCCGCTTCGTCATGGTATCGTGTCCCGATCCTCCCTCAATCGGGTGCGCGTCCCRGTGCTCCCCCAACCCCGAGCAGAGGACAGCTCTGTCCGCCCCGGTGCCCGCCGCGGGCGGGGTGGGGGTGGGTGAGCGCCTGATATTCTCTTTTCCCCGGAGCCCGCTAGATTACCTCGGGGGCAGGTTGCCAGGGAGTACGGGGTTGTAGTGTTAATAATAATAACAACAACAACGTCAGTAGCCCAAAAAGGGAAAGCACTGGCAGGACTGACCCAAATGGGTGACGGCGACGCTGCAAATGGCCAGGAGAGTCCAGGGAGAAACACAGACACGCACCAGCGCAGACGGTCGTCCCAGACCTTGGTACGCCGGCCAAGAGGGGGCGGGCGGCAGCCGCCGGGGTGATGTGGCCCCCGGCTGGCCGGGGTCCGGCCCGCTGGGCTGCGAGAGAGCGGCGTGGGGTGAGGGATGCTGCGGTCCCCCGGGGGAWGCTGGCCTGCGACAGCCTTTGGACCCTGAACCTCTACGAGTTCGTACCCCTTGCCCCGCCCACATTTTTTTGTTTTATTTTTTTTTTCCCTCGGGGATTCAAGTGCCAAAGTGCCCTGGCAGCTCACCAGTGCGTCGGGCAGCCCTAATTTCACACCCCGAAAAAGTGAGGGAGCACGGACCGTGCCTCGTTTCYAGGGGCTGGGCACTGGGAGCGTGGGCAGAAGCAGTACTGCAGCTGCAGGATTTTGGGGAGAGTGCAAACAATTTCCACTTCACAGTTGCACAGCAAACCCTTCGCTTTTCAGACTCAAGTGAATGGGGCATTATGTTCCAGATATGGGTGAGTTTGAGGCTTCCTGGATGTCGGGGTGCATTGTCACGCACCAATGAGGCTGTGTTGGGTTGGGCTCTGAGCTGACCCCAGTCTTCAGTAGAAAGAAGGGGATTACACCCCTCTTGGCCCACCATAAGAGCTTGGGTACAAGCACATTATAGAAGGGAGTTCGAGCACTGCCTCCCGGCAGGTGGGAATAGGGAAGCGAAAGCCASCACCCGTAGCCATTGGACTCCGGGGGAATCCCGGAGCCGCGGGCAGCTGAATCGTCCGCTCCTGCGGGTGTTCGCTTCTCATGCACCGCCCCAGCGAGCCGGGGTCGGCGAAGACCGGACCTCCTCGGAGGAGACCGACGGCTCCTGCGCGTCGGCGGGGCGGGGCGCGGTCAATGGGCCATGCGAGGAGCGCTTCGCACCGCCGCTCCCAGCGCCGGCCCGCGGTGTACAGTTAGCGTCAAATTACAGCAATTAACCGGGCACCGGAATTTAATTACGCAGCTCTGCCCCTTTCCCACCCCCTCGGTCCTGGGGAGGCTCTTGCTCGGGGACGACGCGGAGCAAAGACAGCCCCGTGCAAAACGGGAAAGGGATGGGGAAGATACCCGSAGATTTCGTGGCTCCGGAACCCTCCCATCTCTCCTTCCCCCGCTTGTTGTTCGCCSTGCCGCTTCATGCCCTTTTTAGGGGACGGCAATTTTAGCCCCATAACGGTAATTTAAAATGCTAGCTTTTGTTACTATTTTGCAGAGAGAGGTGGGGAATTTGTTTTCAAGCTGGCCTTCGGTGAAACGTTCCCAGTGATCTTGGGTGCCACCTTTCTCCCGGTAGGACCTTTCCCTTCTCCCTGACTCCAGGGCTCCCCACGCAGGGTTAAATCTCCGGGCTCAGGACTCATCTCCTACAGACGGGCTCTGCCCCGCGGTACTTGGCAGAGAGGCGGCCTGGACACAGCCCGCCTGCGGGGCTTTCGGGACTATGGGCAGCCCTGGCTCGCATAAGGCTCTTCCGTGCTCCTCTTTTTAGCCTAGGGGAGGAGGACAAGGGCTGGGCGCGTTGCWGAGCCCGGGGTTGTGGGGCGCTCCTTTTCCCCTCCCTGGGGCACTTGGTGACCGCATTTCGCAGGTGAATTCGACTTCCCTGACCCGGGCTTTCAGGACGGCTTTCCCTCGCAGGCTTGAGGGCACACCCGGCCCTTGCAGGGGGCTAAAATCGCCGCACCCTGAGCCACTGTCATTCTGAAACGCCAGCTTTGTCTTGCCATGCCGAATACCTCTTCCCTGTGCAAAGTGAA